GCTCTTCGATGTATTCTGTTAACTAATATGTATTACTTTCTTTATCTTTTATATTAATATATTTTATTATAATATTTATAATATATTTATAATATAGAAAATGAACTGAAATCAAATAGGATTTAGTTGAGTTGTGTTAAAGTCATAGTTCATACCATCTCCCAAGGTGGTATAAACTGGCAGTATAGCCAACAACCAGTTGTTTCCAAAGACGCTTCTCATATTTCTTGAATACCCCAGAAAGTATTTTGTTTGTTGAATGTCTTTAATGTTTCGAAGTTGGTCTTGTAATTGTTTCTTCTCAATTCCGCTTATATTTGCCATAATTCTGAATGTTTGTTGGAAGAGCATTGGTGTCGATGGTGCGAGAAATGCCATCGAGAAGATGAAGTTCACAAAAGTTGGTATATAACAAATACAGAAGTAATTAATTTCCTTCGTTTGAATGAAATAGATTGTAAACAAAGTGATTGACACAAAAGATATGATGATATTGCATACCATTAATATGAAACAGTACATTAGAGTTAAGTAAAAGAACTTTTGATTACCATATCCAATACAACTCCCAACAAACGGGCCTATTCATTACTCTTATATTATTAATAAAGAAAGATAGTAATCAACAAACAGTGATGATCGAGTTTTAAAACACATCTCCCACACTTCGAGCAATGATGCGCACGTTCCGGCTTCGTGCAATTACAAACGTCACACAAAGGTTCGCCTTCTACATGATGATCCAATGGTACATATAATTTACTTTTCTCAAAGACGCATCTATTGTAAGAGACAGTCACTACAATATAGAGGGGATACACCACCAATGCACACACTATTGAGATCTCCCAGTAAAATATGCCAATAGCAATCATCACCGTCGTCGAGACAAAAAAGCTAAATACAATCGACATATTAATCGCAACACGGGAAATTAGATTCTCTCGCCTCACTTGTTCGGGGGTCAAATGTGGTCGACGTCTCTTGTTAAATCCCCATCTTCTTCTTTCGTTGTGACGATTCTCATTATTAACAAAAGGGGCTAAATTATTCTCGCCAACAAGCATTCCAGTTTCGTTGTTTTCTTGAGTGTTATAAACGCCTTGGTCTGTCATACAAACAATGATTTAAATAGTCCAAAATATCAAGTTCAAACACAATACTGACTTATTCAGAACTTAATGAGGAATTGATGATATGTCCGATCATTCTTTCTGTGGACCGGACCGAGTTGTTTACAAACACCCCACATAACATACAAGTCCTCTCTCCATTTACAACTGAATATGAGTTCTTTCAATAGAAATAGTATATTATTATTATATTATAGTATTAAATTATTTATATTATTATATTATATTAGAATAATTATATACTATATTATTATTATATTATTACTATTCTTTTTCAACAAACTCTTTTTTGAAATGAAATTCTTTGTGGTTTCGTTGTGTGGATACCACCTGTCTTTTAAAAATGGTGGGAACGGTACTACAGCTTCTTTACAAACAACGTTGATCTTATACCGTTCATTTGTAGCATCATTCTTCTCAGGTGTGACGACTATAAATATATGATTTAAGTGTGACGATATGGAATTTGGGTTGAATGTATCAGTACTGTCACTCATCTCTTTGAACACAACAACGACTACATCATTGCCAACATGTCTTTTTCTTTCGAGCTTTTGTGTGGTTTTGTTGTCTGGGAGTAGTGGGGCAACGTGATATACTATTTCGTATAAATAATTGTCCATCACCGTGAAGTAGAAGTATTCTCCCGTCGTCCCACTAGTGTTATCTAACCCCCCACAAAACCTTCCCCAATTCTTTTGCTCCTTCTTCACTGCTATCAAATCCATAAACTTCCAAAACGCATCGGAGCATTGAGTGTTTGCATACATCTCATCTTCATTCTGTTGTCCAGGTGTGCTATACAACACGCCGATTTTGTATGTTTTGACTATCATTTGACTCTCTAAACGAACCATTTGGTCGAGAAGTGTTTGATTTGTTTTGATTCTGATGGGCTTCTCTGTTGTTTGAGTTTTTGTTGAGTACCACTTGACTGGGGACAGTTCCATCGAAAGTACAAATCGGTGAAGGCCATTAGCTTTGAATGACATGACGTAATACAACGAGTTTGTTTCTTGATAACACAAGATAGTAGCCGAGTTCTTATAGACGTAGTACTTCGACAGTGGATTCGTGTAAAAGAACTGTTTAAAGAATGTGAAGTCTGCCTCTCTATTAACGATTTCGTATTGATCCAAATCCGTTAAATGTGACACAGAACGTCCATCACTTTCAATATGGAACAACCCTTCACACACACAAGTCTCCGTGATGTTGTAACTCGAAAATTTGGTTGTCCAGACTTCTAATGGAAGTGCCAAACTCGACCAACAGTCATATATTTTGCCCAATTCGGAATTGACAGAGTCCATTATAATATAATATAATGACTCTTTTGTTATAAACCGCTTGTTTGGTCTCACTACATCGCGTACTGCAGTGAACACTAAGGGGTCACTCGGGTGCTCAAACATCAACTTAATTTGAAGCATGGCACTCCTCATCTTCTCCGCATCAGTCGAACCAACACCAATCAAGTCTTTCAATGCAAATAGCATCATCATGTCGGAATCCCCTGTCGGGTCATTCTTTTCTTCAAAAGCACAAAACGATCGTCGGGTTTGATTTCCTCGACTAAACAAATGTCGCTTACGGGGTGATGGGACCGGGGTTGGGCCTTTGGATTGTGACTTTTCTGGAGACACGTGTGGAGAATTGCTTTCAACATTTGGGGTCTTAGAGCGAGCCTCGACTGTGGTTGGTATAGTATTAGAAAAAGGGGCGGGTGACTTGGATTTGAACAACGAAAAATTTGGAAAAACCGTTTTCTTCCCAGTCTTTTTGGACATGTCTGAATATAGCAGTTTTCATCAACAAAGCACTTTTTGGTTGTTATTGGAAAAAAAAGTCTTTTTACCGAGTCGGAAAACAAACTCAATTTTTATAATATTGTTTATATTTAATTGTTATATTAATACAAAATGGTTATTATCAAGTGGGAAATAATGTCACTCTGTAAAAATATCATAACACAATTTTTTGTTTGTGTTATATTTTAAATGAGTAATATATATTGCTCTATCTATGTAATAATAAAAAAATTAAGTTAATAAAAGAAAAAAAAGAAAATAGAAAACATTTTTAATTATAATTAAATTGTTACTAAAAATACACTTTGTAATAAAAGTAGTTTTGATTTTGTCAAAACAATTAAATATTTCAACTTTTTGAAATTTATTATTTTTTTAATTCAAATTATAATCATCATACTGTTAGACAAGTTTACCTTAAATGGTTCACTTTAATGGTTTAAAAAATAATTATAATAGTAAACAGTGGGTTAAACTAGAAAATAGATATGATGGTTAAATAGAATAATATTTAAATTATTATTAATTCTATTGTTTTATGTCACACTCTGATCTTGAAAAATAAAACCACGACACATGTTAAGTATTGTTTTGTATATTTCAATGTGTTTGTCTCGTTGAGTTCAAACCCGCCAAAACATGTGCCGCCTCATTCGGAAACGTTTGTGTTACTTTATATTTATTTTAATTTGATAAATTAGCAGTATTTCCTATCGTGATGGAAAAATACTGTTTTTAACTATAAACCAAATAATACACATAAAAACGAATTCAACGAAAGGAAATATTGCCAAACCTCCCAAGAGTGGGATTTTAAGAACCTCCGCTTGATTATGGCAAGTGAAACGTATACCCACTTAATAAAGAGTGGGCCTATGTTATATTCGGGTTTGTTCTCAAGAACTGCCCAAATAATAGAGAACAACAAAAATAATAATTACACACTCTGGAGAAGTCAGACTGTATTTATAATTGAATTGAATTTGAACTATTGTGGTTACTTTATTCGTCAAATCTTAATAAAACTTTATTGTTTATGTTCACATTAAAATGTTGATGATGATTATGATCATGTGATAGTTTATTAATATCTTTACTTGTTCATAGCTTTCTTATTCTTTATGTAGTGTGTTTGGGTTTTTGACTTGCTTTTTATTATTCAAAATTTTATATAAACTTGATTAAAAAAGCAATTAATTAATTTATTCAGGTTATAGTTCAAAATTTATTATTGTTGAATTATAATTTTTACCATTTAACCCAAACTTGTCGTTTAAATCAAATTTGTCATACTATATAACTTTTAATTATCTAATAATTGAACATAATATTTTTAATAATAAAAAATAAAAATAATTCAAAGAAGTGTTGCCAAAAATAGAAATTACGTGTCTTCCACGTCAACACCACATTTTGAAATTGAAAATGGGTTTGCAGACAAAATAAAGCCACAGATGCGGGAGATGCAATTGAGTGTTTGACAATAATAACTGAGACGTGGCGGCAAGACGTATAAAATGGTGTTGGATTTTGAATAATTCATCAAATGAGTGCAAACAAAGGAACCGCAGTTGGTATTGACCTTGGGACAACATACTCCTGTGTCGGTATCTGGCAAAACGACAGAGTTGAGATCATTGCAAATGATCAGGGCAACAGAACAACGCCATCGTATGTTGCCTTCACAGACAGTGAGAGGCTGATTGGTGATGCAGCAAAGAACCAGATTGCGATGAATGTGAAGAATACCGTCTTTGATGCAAAGAGACTGATTGGAAGACGATTCAGTGATCCAGCAATACAAGAGGATATGAAGCACTGGTCATTCACTGTTGTCAATGATGGCAATGACAAGCCATTGATTCAGGTGGAGTACAAGGGAGAGACAAAGAAGTTCACACCAGAGGAGATCAGTTCGATGGTGCTGACAAAGATGAAGGAGACAGCAGAGGCGTTTGTTGGTGGGAAAGTCAACAACGCAGTCATCACATGTCCAGCCTATTTCAATGACTCACAGCGACAGGCAACAAAGGATGCAGGCACAATTGCAGGCATCAATGTGCTCAGAATCATCAATGAGCCAACAGCAGCAGCAATAGCATATGGACTTGACAAGAAGACAGAGAGAGAAAAGAACGTCTTGATCTTTGATCTTGGTGGTGGAACATTTGATGTCTCACTTCTTGCTATTGACGATGGAGTCTTTGAAGTGAAGGCAACAAACGGCAACACACACCTTGGTGGCGAAGACTTTGATAACAGAATGGTCAACCACTTCATTGCCGAGTTCAAGAGAAAGTACAAGAAAGACATTTCAGGCAATGCACGAGCAGTCAGAAGACTCAGAACATCATGTGAAAGGGCAAAGCGAACACTGTCATCGGCAGCAACAGCAAACATCGAAGTCGACCAGTTGTATGAAGGAATCGACTTCTACACATCAATTACAAGAGCGCGTTTTGAAGAACTCAACATCGACCTCTTCAAGTCAACAATCGCACCCGTCGAGAAGGTGCTTGAAGACGCAAAACTGGACAAAGGAAGCATTGACGATGTTGTGTTGATTGGCGGATCAACTCGTATTCCAAAGGTAGTGCAAATATTACAAGACTTCTTCAATGGGAAGGAGATCAACAAGAGCATGAACCCAGACGAGGCTGTTGCTTATGGTGCTGCTGTGCAGGCTGCCATTCTGACTGGAAATGGTGGAAAGGCAACAGAAGACGTGTTGCTGCTTGACGTTGCGCCGTTGACACTTGGGATTGAGACAGCGGGCGGTGTGATGACGGCACTGATACCACGTAACTCGACAATACCAGCAAAGAAGTCACAGATCTTCTCAACATATGCAGACAACCAGCCAGGCGTGCTCATCCAAGTCTTTGAAGGTGAGGCATCCATGACATCACACTGCAACCTGCTTGGCAAGTTTGAGTTGAGTGGCATCCCACCCGCACCACGTGGTGTCCCACAAGTCGAAGTCACATTTGACATCGATGCAAATGGGATTCTGAATGTGTCAGCTGAAGACAAGACAACAGGAAAGAAGAACAAGATCACAATTACAAACGACAAGGGAAGACTCTCAAAGGAGCAGATCGACAAGATGGTTGCAGACGCAGAGAAGTTCAAGGCGGAGGACGACAAGATGAAGGAGCTTGTTGAAGCAAAGAATGGACTTGAGAACTTCTGCTACTCGATGAAAAACACACTCAACGAGCAAATTGCAGCAAAGCTCTCACCAGACGACAAGGCGGCAATCGAAGCAACTATCAAGGAGACACTCGACTGGCTCGACAAGAACCAATCGGCATCAAAAGATGAATACACACAGAAACAGAAAGAAGCTGAGGCGAAGATCCAGCCCATCTTCACTAAAATGTATCAACAGAATGCAGCAGCTGGTAACATGCCAGGCGGTATGCCACAAGGTGGTATGCCTGGTGCACAACAGCAGGGCGCAAAGAAGAGCGACACAAAGGGGCCGAAGATTGAGGAGGTCGACTGATGTAATTGACTTGTTGGTGTAATTTCACTGTACCATTCAATATAATACATGAAACTATATATTTAATATTTTTTTATTAATAAATTATAAAAATTTATTTTTTGTAAATTAAAAATGCCATTATAATTACAATCATTTATTCCCAACTTTCAACGTTGTTTTGATATTCTTCCAGAAAAACAGTCACAAAATGTCCTTTGTTGTCTTCTGAGTAGTCCAAGTTTTGTTTTTGAAGTATGTCTCTCAACGTTGTGATTGCCAAGAAATGCCAATCTCCGTCATTTTCGTCGCCAACATCGAACACGATACTAGTCTTATTGACGTCCTCGGCTTCTTCAATTTGTTGCAACACAATGTGTTCGAAACACCCACTTTTAATTCCTTGTCCATGCAAATCCACTCCGTCGAAATCGTATATCCTCGCAAAAAGATTTTGCACCAACCGAAAGATCTCATCTGCGGCTTCGATTTTTGCTGCTTTGTATTGTTCACTGAGTAACTCCCACTCCCGTGCAGCTTCTGTCCCGGGCTCGTTGCATTCCACAGCCTTTCTCCAGTTGTGGTAAGCGTTGTTCACTAAGATGTTGAGTCCTTTGAGCGCGTTTGTGAATTGTCGATTTATTTCTGAGATGTCTCTTCTCTTATCTTCTTCTGTATATTTTTTCTTATTGTTTTGTTCTATAGGTTCGATCGTATTATAGTTGTTAATCTTCTTTTTAGAGCTTGTCTTGTTTGGTTTCTTAGTCACATCAATATCTTTGTCTGCTTCAAGTAAAGATAGTAGCAACGAAGACTCGTTCGGCGAGAAAATCCGGTAATCGATCTCTTCGTTCGGCGCGTCTTTGTAACAACTGTTTTGCATTTGCCTCTCCTTTTTTTTACTCCCTTAAGTATCTTTCGTTCCTCCAATACTAATGAGACAACACGAGATTCAATCTGTTTCGTCTCTTTTGTTTTGGTGTGATGAATTGATTGATAAATAGTTTATTTTACTAATACTTTATTCGTATTCATTTTTATATTAAAACAAAAAAACCTTCATGGAGTAACGTTATTAACCAAATTTTATAACAAAGAATTAAGTATAAGTCTGGAACAATGTCTTTGCAAAAAGAAGAGTAACTGGGCCGAAAAGTGGGAGTAAGCAGGCTATTTTGTGTTCAATGGGGAAGAAAAGAATTGCGAAGAAATCCTCAGAGTAAGCGACGGAGTGTGCGTCTTTGACCAACTCTTGGGACAACTCAAATTTGGTTTTCAAGTCTTTTTCCGCTGTTATCCGTGCCACTCGTTCCGACACATCACTCGCCTTAACTGCCAAACTTTGAGGTATTGGCACAAACTTTTCCTCGCTTGTAATCTCCACAAATGATTTGATGAGTGAGATAGAGGTTGTCACTTGTTCAATCTACTTGTCATTTTTCCTCATGACGGAACGCCACCAATTCCAATATAAACAAACGGAGAGCTGGCGCAATATATTGTCCATCTCGAAACTCAGAAATCCAGACGATTTGCTGTAGTTGAGAGTGACCGTCTCGCCCGAAAGACTTGGGATTTCGAAGATATATCGGAAATACCCAATCAAACTCTTTTCAGGCTCATTCAGTGGTCCTTTCCCTTTATAATTCTCAATCTCAAGATCACTTTGTTCATTCGAAAGTTCTAATGAGAATCTGTAGAGACAATTCATGTCGGGGTATTCAAGCTCGGATGAGTGTTGCTTGTCTGTCAATTCGGAGAATCGGTAATGAAGTGGGAAAAATTCTTGAAGCTTTTGAATCACTTTAGTGATGTTGCCTTGTTCAATTTGAGTGTTCGAAGACATCGTAAAACACCAATTGTTGACCTCCCTCGAGTGAATGACTTTGGGCTGATATACCGGAAACATTTTTTGGAGTAATCGCAGCAACACATCGACTTTATTTGAGTCGAACACTAAAGTTCTTGTCGAGTCTACGTGGAGCATTGGTGACAACGTTTCTTCATTAAAAACGATGTTGTAATTGCCGGGAAGTGGAGCGTCAACAACTCCGTTGCAATGAACTGAAAATCTTTCACTCTTTCCAATCTTTTTGAGTTCCTCACACGCGCGACTATTTTTGGAGAAGAAGTTGAGTTGTGTATCGTTGGGAATATCCATTTGTGTTATGGTGAAGCTGTATCTGTCCTTTCCCAAAAGAAAGAGAACCAATGGCACCATCAACAGCATTAGAGTAGCCACGATGACGAGACTTGTCACTCTCTTGTCCATTCTGTGTCTTTTTTGAGATTTGAGTGATAAGAGATATCAAACCATTAATGAATTATTAACTTATTACATAACAAATTAATTAATTAATTAGAAACACAAGTGAGATCCATGTGATGCATTTGGTTCTGTTGTTTCGTTTGCGTCGCTAGAGCTTTTTTTCCTCCCTGCGATTTGTCTTCCCGAAGACGCCTCCTTTACGGCTCGATGTAAATGATCGTTAATAGCGCCACCAGCACATCCAAATAAATTACCTATACACCTTTCACTCGCTTCAGGAAATCGTTGTTTAATAGCCAAGATCTGATATCTGCGATACTGTGTGACCGGAAGTGGCTCTTTTGCAATCTGTGCAAGTAAAGCAGCACTTTTCTCTTTGTCATCTGGGCTACGTGGACACTCGACGTTTTGTTTCATTTGGTCAAGCGTGAGACTCATCGACTTTAAACGGACCTCTTTAGGGTTTTGCGCGACACGGTGTGACGGGATTATTATAGTAGCAAAAGTGATTTCTCGCAAACGGACGTCGCGGTGTTTCTTTGGTTTAGTTGTTTCTTTCTTTTTTGATTCTTTCGACTCTAAATGTAGTGGATAATGAGGAATGGGAAAAGCAAAAGGTTTCGATGGGAGGTACAAATTCTTTGATGACCTTTCCATTCAATTTTTGGGGTGTGAACTAACAATTAAATGACTTTGCAAAATATTTTCCTATTACTTATTAATTATTATATTATTAGTAATATAACATTCGAGCAAATGACTGGTCATTCCAGTATAATATATATATAATAAATTTATTAATTTCTTTTAGTATTGATTTTGTATAGTATATATTACTATATTTTATTAGTTGATTTTTCACTTATTATACCGGATTATATTAACGCCGTATATCTGTAAATACAGTTCATTGTATTGCCGATATAATCCAGATAACTCGAATAAAAAAACACACAGTTAGTCCAAGCCAAGTAACTCTTTCTCCGAATTAGTAAAGTTGACTTGATCGACTGCGCCCAAAGAAGCTATTTTCGACTCCATTTGCTCCTTTTTCTTTTTCTCTTCCATCGCCTTTTTCTGCTCCGCTTCTGTTTTGAGACGACGACGCTCTTCTTTTCTTCGCTTGTGTTCTTCGTACGCCTTTCGTTTCTCTTCATCTCATCACGTCGTTTGTTCTCTTCTTCTATTTTCTTTCTGGTTGCCTCTTCTTGTTTTGCTCTCTTGCTCTTCTTTCCGCGCTCTCTTCTCATTCGAGATGCTCTTCGCTCTTTTCTGCATCTCCTTTTGTT